AATACCTCCTAGCAACGCTCAAACCCCAGAACGCTTTGCAGAGGTTGCCCACCGCGCTGAACAATTATTACGACCCTGGACAAAAGAGCAACTTTGTGTTTGGCTGTTGTGTTTTGGGTTTTGGGATAGGGTTTAGGGCCTGGGTGTAGGGTTTGGGGTCTAGACTTCAGGGTGTTCAGGGCTTAGGGTTCAGGGTGTGAAGGCTGAGTTGCAGCGTACACTGGAGTCTAGGGATAGGCCAAAGTTCCTCGCCCGCCTGAAGCTCCTGCGGAGCACTGCTGCCGGAACCTCGAGGGCTGTAGGGTTTAGGGCTTTGGGCTTTAGGGTTCAGGTTTCGGGTTTAGGGCATTGGGGTTGAAGAGGTCTTTGTTTGTTGTTCTGTTGCAGGCATTGACTTTGCTCGACATCGAGGATGTTTTGGGGTGCTGGGTTTTGCTAACAAGAACTTGCGGCAAAAAGAGTTTGGAGATTCTTAGGGTAGGTCGGCTCCCGCCCAGATCACGCGTCGCTGGGCGAAGAAATTCCTTCGCTTCGGCGCGCCCTTTGCCACAACGTGCGGTGTTTAGGTTCAGGGCATTTGGGGCTCGCATCAGGATTGTTTTCGGCTAGGGTCTTAGGATCTTAGAGGGTCTTGGGGTCTTAGGGTGTTGGAGGGACCCTGAACCCGAAACCGTTTACATTGCCGGGTGTAGGGAAACTGCTGCCATTGTGTGTCTGTCACATGGACATCAACAGGACACGTTCAACTTGCATGTCAGTCTACACTCGGGGAGGATCGTCAGCAGCATTTCTCGTGAATGCAGTTTTCTGGACGAAGCTCTAAAACTCCAACCCTAAACCCTAAGCCCTAAACCAGCCCTGGGCTGCCCAAGGGCTCCTGAACCCCGAGCCCTGAACACCCGTCTTGTATTGGCATCTGGATACCTTATCTTTGTGGTGCTTTACTGTAACTTTAGATCCTTAGCCTTTTTGGGTTTATTGGGCTTCCTAGTAAGGCCGCTAAAAGTTTAATTTGTAGCTACCGTCCGAAGTGCAGCCAGATCCTACTCTTTTGCGGGCCTATATTGGGGGTTCCCAGCTAAGGGCCTGCCCGACAAAAAAAGAGCCCCAAATCCTCCTTGAGTCGGTACACCCCAAAAAGAGCCTCAGACGGTGTTCAGGTTGTGGGACGCATCCCCGCGCCGTGACAGAAAAGCGAAGTTTGGACATTTGGGTCCTGGTCACGGGGTTTCATCGCTTAGGGTCCAGGAGGCCGTGGCACGGAGTTTTGGAGCAGAAGTTTGGTGAGGGGTTGGGACTAGATGATTGCTAAGGCACTGCGTTTTGAATCAGGATGAGAAGGGGGATCCTTCGAACTTAGTTGCGATGCAAGAATGTCGCTATGCAGAGCTGGCTGTGGGGTTCTGGTCTTCAGGCGTTTTAGAGGGCTTTGTAGAGTCGCAACGTGTTATTGGGCTTACAGGGCTTACAGGGTACCAAGATCTTCGGTACCTGTTTCTCGCGGGAGTCGGCACTAGGGTGTGTCCTGCGAAGGAAAGCCAAAGTCAGGTTCGAGCACTTCTTGTTTTCGACCGTCTACCGTCCCTGGGCGCTTGCTGTTCAGAGGTCAGACATTCTGAAGGGCTTCTAGGTAGGACTTTGGGAGTCAGAACTCTAAAACCCTGGACCCCAAATTCCTGGTTGTTTTTACGAGAACCTTCCTCAGGCCCGCTCTCATATTCTTCTGAGGGGCCAACGGGGCTTTTAGGGCTTAGGGTTGAGGGTCCCTTTAGGAATACCCCGAACCTTCAGAGATCGGGAGAGCGCACCTGCCCAAAATACCCATTGTTTGCCGTTAAATAGGCCACCATAGTACATCTGACATCTCTTTATTCAGCAACTGCCTGGAGCTACAGCTGGACAAGATGCAGCCATCGACTTCAATTGAAGCAACACAGTGCGCGGCCCAACAGGCAATAGCTGACATGACAGAGCAGAACGTACTAAACTTGGCACCTAATATGGGGGTCGGAATATTTACTAACCGTATTCCCTTATGGCCCCAAAATACTTTGATATTTAGGTTTCGTGCAACTTCTTTTTCTTGAACGCTTATGCTATCATATCCCCCAAAACCCTATTCTAATTATTGAGGCTCTTTATGGCCTATACTTGAAGCATTTGCGCCCTATGAGCACTGCCGTCCCCCTGAAGTCCTTGACTTGTGAGATGTTTGAAAGTTTTTAGTCCCTCTTAATACATCAAAGTCTTGTAGAGGACGCCCCAAAATATCCCAATTCGTAGGAAGTCCTGACTAGTTACACCGTCACACCCTGTCAAGGCAGCCCACAAGCGCATCTTGGCCGGACTCAGATATCTGGACATGAGGGGATAGAGATTCAATGTGGGACTATGGCTCCTCAACCCTATGCCCCACAACTTAGGACAGCTCTGCAAGCTCTTTCGGGGACTGCTCGGTACGCTGAACTTTCAATTGTTGGTCGAGTAAAGGCATTCTGCTGAGTGCGCAGACCATGCTGTGAAGCACGCAGCCGGAAGAAGTCGATCATCTTGTTATTTTATGTCATGATATTCCCCCAAGTCGTAACTCAAAGCAAAAGGGGTCCGCCGGATCGGGGACCGCAAGGTTATAATGTTGAACAGGGTTGTTCTGATTTCGCCTGCATTTGCAGGTATGCTAGAGGGCGGTAGGCGGCAGTGGATTGCCAAAAAAGTCCCAAAGATCGAGCAGGAGTGCAGAGCCTTACGCACCTACACACTACAGCATTTCCGAGGCCCTCAAGCTCCTCAGGTTGCCTACCATGCCTTCCGATTCCTCAGCCTTTGAAACGGAAAGCCGTATCATCACGCCGATGCCGCCCCTACTTGCCCCACACGCCGACCCCTTTGCGGCGCCAGGGCGCCGCGGTGTGTAAGACAATGTGCAAGACCATGGTGCCCACCTTGATCACATGTACAACCACACAAACCCGAAACCCAGAAAACCCTAAACCCTGAACCCTGCTGAGCCAAGCCCAGGGCTGGTTTCCGCGGCTATGCCCTCGAACCCGGGGTTATCGCCCGACGCAGCGTGCCTCGAGGCTGGGTGTGGGGTTTGGGGTTCAAAGTTTAGATCTTTCGTGTGGAACGGTTCTCGCGCTGTCCGCCCTGTGGTGTGTTTGCATGGAGTTTGGGGGCTTGGATTTGCCCTGAACCCCGACGTTAATGCTCTGCAGCCCGAGGGATCGAAGGCTTTGTCTGAGGTGTTGTGATACATGCGTTTTCGGGTTGGGTGAGGTTGTTAGGACTTGGGAGAAGAGCTCTCGTCTCGGAGAGGTTTGTGCGCGCGCGCGTTTCTTCTACCTGGCTTGGGGTTTGGCCTTTGGGTTTGGCTGTTTCCTGGTTTGGGCTGTGGGGATGCGGGGTGCGAAGAAGGGCTCCACAGTTGGTGGCCCCGGTGCCTCTAATGCCTCCCATGACGACTACTGACTTCTTCACGCCCCTTCTAATGTTGACTTCGCATTAATAAATCCCCCCCCCCCCCCCTTCATTGATCAATCTCTCCGGCCAGGGCCTCCTCAATAATATCCGCCTAAATCCTGGTAGGTCTAGCTGTCCCGGTGCCACCACGGTGGGCTAAGTGAGCCTCTACTGCGAGCTTCTGGGGGATCACTTTTAGAAGAATATTCCGGGCTGGATTTTATAATTGTGGCGGGCTACATTATTGTGTTCTGGCAGCTGGACTTTATAATTGCGGCGGGAATTCCTAATGTGAAGTCAACATTAGGGCCGAAGCTTGGACTTCGGAGTCGATTTATGGAACAGAGGCTGCACGGTTTAGGGTTTGTCGATTGGGGGTGAAAGGCTCAAGGTTGGAGTCAAGTTCCCATCCCAAATGCCCGCCCCGCAGAACATCCGGTGATGGAATTGGGCGTCGTCTGCTGAGTCGCTGAGCCGAGCTGGTGCCATAAGAGCTAGATGTTTGTGGGATGCTCAGCGCAGGAATCTAGGCGGAGCTCAAAATTGGAGGGGCTTTAAGGTAGGGCTGGGTTGAGGAGCAAGGCTGCAGGCTCAGACACATGAAGGGTTTGACTGGGATGCCTTGTGTGCAACGGCGTTGCATCATGCTGCACCCTGAAGCATGCCAAATCTGAAAGCACCGAAACTGCCTCAACCCCAAACCGTGAACCCTACGCAGCTCAACTCCAGAACAGAGTTCAGTTCAGGCCTAAGGGGTTCAAGGGGGCTTTGCAGTTGAGGTTTAGGCTTTAAATTTAGGGTTTTGGATTTAGGGTGCTGGGTTTAGCGTAGGAGGGCTTCGTTTGCAGTTATCCGATGCGCGCTGCGGAGGAAAACAGGGGTCGGAACCCTTGTACTGTTCTTATTATAGAAGGTAAGTAGGGATGGGCACTCTGTTCCCTAAGGGTTGAATAGAGGGGCAGTGATATGGCACTTACTTCCCTAACTCCATGTTCAGCACATAGTAACAATTTCCCTCAACGGACAACAACAGCAAGCCTGGGATGGCTTCGAAAACGTCGTATCTTGCTGAAGTCCTCCCTACCCCCGTGGGACTGCGAATGGAAGCCTTCGGGGGCCCCATCCTTTGGGGGGGGCCCCGTTGCCGAAACCGAAGTCGCGGCCCCTGGCCCGCTGACAAAACTACCCCTAAACCCTAAATCCTAAACCCTAAGAGTCCCTTCTCTGGACGTTAAACCCTAAGTGTCCCTTCTCTGGACGTTGGGATGCAACAGTTGTTCCACTACAGGTCCAGGAAGTCAAGGTGCCGAAATGCTTGTCAAGATCATCCCCTTACAAAGCCTGTAGAAAATGCCCGTTCTAAAATTTTGATAGAGATCACTCTCCTAAATTTGTATGCCAGGGTTTTGAGGGGTTAGGGTGTTCGGCTTTAAGGAGGATGCTGAGGGGCTCAAGGGCTTAGGGCGGTTGGGGTGTAGATGCTTAAGACTGTGGCAGCTTGGCACAGGCAACGCGAGCTTAGTGAAAGGTGTAGTTAAGCAATGACGGGCCATTGCTCTGCTGTGGAGCTTGCCAACCAGACGTACATGCTCGCAAAGGGTGTTCTTGGACAGGGGGACTTTGCGACTCTCATGCGCAGCATCTGGCGTTGTGGCGATGTCCATCCGGATGTGAATCAGACACTGCTTGCAGAAGAAGTTGCCGGAAATTTGAATGCTCTCCTCAGCAATCAGAGGCAGCGGTTCTTAGACAAGATGTGGCCATTGGGTAGGCTTGGCGAGCTCGCGTGCTGGGAATATGCTGTGTTGCCCGAGATTCTTGAGCACAGCATGCAGGATCAAACGCCTCGGCCGGATCAGCTCTTCAAGGTTCTCTTTGGTCAAGTGGACCCTGGCTATCGGTTGTGGCAACTCTTTGGTCTGGGTGGAAGTCCCCTGCGTGCGCAGATGCAGGTCATGGCCTTACGCAATCTGGTCTATGGCGCTTCCGAGGTGCCTGTTGCGAAGCAGCAGTTCCTGAAGAACTGTCAGGCCAGTTCTTCCCAAATCGGAGAAATTTGGGGGTTGAAGACTCATTAGGAAGTCCTTATCTGAGCACGAGGTCAGCATCCTATAGAGTAGGGGGAGTCTCGGGAACTTGCTCTTTGAAGCGCGCCCCCAGGTTTGCATCATCATCTTGGCCTTGGTAATCTTGGTTGTGCTGGCCATCTCGGCTGTTGCCTTTCCCATCTTTTCCCTGGTGACCTTTGACAGTTTGGGTATTGGCAGAGCACTCAACAACAGGACCAGGAGGGCAATGATGCTGGGGGCAGTCTTTTTGGCCGCCGTGTTCGGTTTGGCCTATGTCTTGGCACTTCCATATCTGGACGACCTTTCGGAACACGGCTTTCGCGTGCTAACGCTCTACCTGACGCTGTTTGCAGCAAGAGTGGCACCCATGCTGTCCAGCCTGGCCTCCCTGCGCTACCTCAAGACTGTCGTCTGCGGGTGGTTGAAGCGAGGTGTCGAGCCGAGCCGGTGGCTTCTCCTCAAGGTTCTGTGGTGCTTGGTGGGACCGCTTGTGGTGAAGCCACGTCTTGATGCATGGTCAGCGACCATGGCGGTGCGTCTGCCATTCCTGGAATCTCGTGTTTATTATGAGCTTAAGCAGTTGGGAAGGCTGCCTCAGCCCTTAGTGCTCAGGCCTGAACTCTGATGAAGTTCGGGATTTTGACTCGCTGGCTGAAACACAGGTCGGGGACACGGTTCCGTGAATCGGCAAGTTCCGTTGCTTCCTCGTTGTTTTTTCTGATGTGATGTGAAGTGGTGTATCCGGATGCCGCTTCTGTCTCTCTCTCTCTCTCTCATTGTCTCTCTGCGCTTCTCTTGTTGTTGCTTTGACAAGGGTATGCCCGGGTTCTCTATTTCTCTCAATTATCTCTTTCTGGCATGAAGGTGGCACATCCAGACTATTTCTTTCTCTCATTATTTCGTCGTATGCTCTTTCTCTCTCTCTCTCTATGTTTCTCTTTCTGTTTCTTTTTCTGTTTCAAGCCCCAAGTCCTGAGCTCCAAACAAGGTGAAGGTTTCGGGGTTTGCGGTTTTAGAGGTGTAGGGTTAGGGATTTACGGGGTTCCTGGGGTTTAGCGGTCTAGGGTGTTGTTTTGTGTTTTGGTGGGGTGTCAGGTTTATGGGGCTTTTGGTTGAATTTGCTGAACCCTAAAGGCCCTAAACCCTCGGCCCCACATCCTAAACCTTCTCCCTGCCACAGCTCTTCTGGGGCCATGCAAGCAACCAGCCCGACGACGAAGAGGGCGTGCAGTCGTCCCTGTTGGGCAAGCGGCCTGTGGACGCTGATTCCCGGACTAGGAGACGCGAGAGAGGAAAACCCGATTCTTCTCGGGCTTCTTCGCCCTGTCACCTTGCAAGCCGGACAAGCTGCTCTTGGCCGCGTCATGCGCTGGGTCGCCCTCAGTCAGGCCGCCTTGGATGCATGGCGGTCATTGCCTAACGATGCGGGAGGGCGCTTCGACGCGGTTTTGGGGTTTAGGGAACTCTTCCTCCTCCCAGGCTTAGGCCTAATCCTCTCAGGCGCTATCCGTTGCTTTTCTGGTTTTGGCCCGTTTTGCGGCTTCAGAACCTTGTAGAGTCGGATCCAGGAGTAGCAGGACCACGAACTCATGTTCGGAGACAAGCTTGTTGCCGGAACTTCTTCCTGGATAGTAGGCACCCTACACCACCGAACCCTGAACCCTAAACCCTAAAGCCCCAACCCAAAGCCCCCCAAATACAAGGATTGACACCTCTGACCCTCAAAGCCATGAACCCTAAACCCAGGGTTTAGGGTTCTTCGGGTTCTGGGCTTAAGGACCCTCATGAACCCTAAACCCAGGGTTTAGGGTGTAGGGTGCAGGGTTTAAAGGGTCCTGTTTCCACCACGCAACCTCAAGCCCGCCGCTTTCCGCGCCATGGCGAACCGCTCCATGCGCAGCGCTCGACAGGCGCACGACAACCTGCGGACCACGCAGGCGGGCAGGGGATCCAGGGTGTTGAGTTTTGGGCCTGGGGTTTCGGGTTTGGGGTTTAGGGTTTAGGCATCAGGCAACTTGGGAAGTTTCTTTGAGGAAGCTTGGCTTGGGTGCTTCAAGAGCTGCGAAGAGGAGCTTGGAAATCCCAACTCCCACATTGTCCTGATGCCACAAAACCCAAGCCCTAGAACCCTAAATCGTTTTTCTCAACAGCCCTCATACCTAAGTCGTACCCATACCCTGTAGACCCTACATACCCCAAATAGCCTAAATGCCTTTAAAAAACTCAAGTACCCTAAGCACCCCGAAATCTTAGGACACTCACCGGCTCCGCATGCGGCCGCCGCCGCCCCCAGGCGAAGGTTACCCAGCCAGGCCCGTGCGCCCCTGAAACCAGGCTTAGGGTTTGAGGGGTTGTGGGGTTTAGGGTTTGAGGGTTTGAGGGTTGTGGGGTTTTAGGGTTGCAGGGTTTAGGGTCGCAGGGTGTTTAGGGCTTAGAAGTGGGGGTTTGTGCCCTTCGAGTTGGAGGGTTTCGATATGAAGGATTGCAGTAGTTTGTTGGTATGTCAGAAGCACCCTTCTTTGGATTGCCCGGTTAAGTGCTTCTTTTTTTTGCCAGTGAGAGTTAGAGCTTGCAGAAGAGGTGAGTTGCGTCCGGGGGATGCTTTGGTGGGGGTCAGGGATTTAGGGTTTAGGGTTTAGGGTTTAGGGTTTAGGGTCACGGTTTTTGGCATCAAATTCGGAGGCTCACGAGTCGCGAGGGAGTTGATGTATCAGACGCTCGGAACTACAAGAGAGGCAAAGCTGTTAACATAGGGGGAGAATTAAGTACTAATAGTATTTCCCTTAATGATACTTTAACAACCCCCCCCTAAATATCACATTCCAATCATTAAGGCCCCGAGTAATACTTGCATTCCCGGTTTTCAGGGGTTTGTTTCCTTGGAAACAAGAAGGGCTTAGGGTTTGTTTTTACAGGGTCCAGGCTCAGGCTTCCTCCGGTTTTGTTCGGAGCACAGCAGGTCTTTTGCCAGCTCGACTGCCGACGCCCTTGCGCAGCCCCCAGAAACTTCGCGTCAGTTCTGGCGGGGCTGAATGCGCGGGCGGTGTTTCTTTCGATTGCCACCAAGAATATCCCTTATACGTTTAATCCCTGTACACATGCTACCCCAAATGCCGTATAACCCATGATTACCTGTATAAACTACACAAAATGTTCTTCAAACCCCTATATTAGCAGTCTTGTCTGGCTCTGCGGAGATCTCCTGAACTTTGAGGGGCCCACCCCAAGTCAACAAAGTACCGTAGTCTGTAATTGCTTTCCCCCTACTATCAACCCTACAAACTTTTCAAGGAGATGCAGCTCGCTCTCGGCGACCGGCCTTCTTCTCGAGGTTGAGAGCCGCTGGGGAATTCGGGCGGGTCTCTTTAGGAGTCACCAGGGATCACAAGGGCCAGGCAAGGGGGGGAAGGAGTTACTGCTTGGCCGCGGGGGCTCAAGATTTAGCCTGATGTTTGGCTGTGCCATCTCCAGCGTCAAGCCGAAGACCTATTAGAATCCAAGAAGCAGCCCGGAGGCGCCTCCTCCTCTGGCTCTCTGCGGCCCTCCTCCACGCAGGGGGCCCGAAGGGGGGGGGGGGGGGGGGCGGGGGCGGGGGAAGGGGAACGGCCAGCGTTGAGACATGAGGACGTCGGGGGGATTGATTGCTTGTTGGCACCCCAGACTCTAAAATAAGATACTCTCTACGCATACCTCACTTCTCTCAAAGGAGCCCTCACTTCCCGTTCTGCATCAGAGCATCAAGTGGGCAGTGTTGATTCGAGTACAATAGGGAGTTTAAATACTTAATACCACTGGAGCCACGTCTCGTGGAGTTAGACCGTCTAACTCCGAGAGAAGTAGCTCCAGTTGTACCCCAGCCAAGTAAGTGTCCACCCCAAACCCCATTTTGAATCGATGCCTGAAGGACTCTATCTTCTTTTGTAGATCATTCGTCTAGGTGGAACTGTTGGCCCTCAACTTCTTTTTAAATTTGGGATTTTGTGACTGTTGGTATGAAACAAAGCAATGGCCTAGCATAACGACACCCTCATCTTGTGCCAACTTCAAGACGCAAGTCGAAGTTAGTGCCTACCAAGGAATTTTGCCAGACGTAGGGTTCATGAGGGAGAGGGGGGATTGTAGATGCCATAAAATCATCGATGCGTGTCGAAATAGAAAAAGTACATACTCTTAAAAAATACCTGCAAAGTAGCCACGAGTTTATGCTAGGTGCGGGTTCTGGAGGGAGGCGGGGGATGTAGGGGGGCTGTTCGGGAAGCTCAGGGGAAGGTCAGGAAACCTAGTAAGGCCTATCAGACACTGTGATTCAGGTCACTCCCACCCCTGCGGAGCCCGCGTGGCCTGGCTGTGTCCAGAGCAGGCCGCTGCGGATCTTGGGTTTTGCTTGAGGGTTTGGGGTTGGACGGGCTGTAAGTTTTGTCTTATGCAGTGAGGCACGGGCACACATACTTTCCGCAGTGTTGAAACTTGCTATGGCCGGCATGGCATATGGCTTTCGGTTAGGATCCCCGCCGTTAAAACATGTTGCTGTGTTGCTCAACGTGACAACCGGCGTGCAATACGCTTCCTGGGCTCCCAATGCAGACGAACCTTGAAAGTCCCAGAGCCCTTAAGGGAGCATTCAATTGTCAACCGGTGCGAACGGCAGAGGAGTGGCAGAGGATGAGTGCAGCCAGGCCCACTTGCGGATGACTCGCCTGTGCGCTCGCCTATGCGCTCACCCTCTGCGTCCCGCCATGTGGACGCAGGCCGCTTCTGCGACTGAAGCCCTTTTTTTTTTTGGGGGGGGGGGGGGGGGTTGGTTTCAGAAGGGATTCGCGGGCCCCTACTATGTCTGAACAAGCTTCATGTGAATGCACAAGCAACACCCGATGTAGGCCCCGGGAGGCCCAAAGCTTGACGAGTTCCTTCTCCCGTTCTGTTCGGGCACCCTTTCTTTCATGTCCGAAACCTTCCGAAGCCACGCTTTTCAATTACGAAGCATGTTTCACGTTAGGCCCTAAACCCTGACACCCCTTGACCCCAACCTTCGGCAGGGCCGGCACGCATGAAGCTCAGTGCTCGCCAGGAGCCTCCCCGGCCTCGGCCTCCAGCAGGCGGGAGGAGTCGGAGGAGGCCTCAAGGGCTTAGAGGATGCTTGAGGTTCAGGGTTCGGGCGTCTCCTCGCGCAACTTTTTCTCTCACGTCGGGCGCCCGGAGGATGATGAAGACGACGACTTCGATGAGCAGCTCAGGGAGCTGGAGGAAAGGTTTCAGCGCTGAGCTCCTCATGCCCACATCTCACAAGTTCTCATTCAGCCTTCAATGACCTCCCGTCTTGGTCCCGTTTTGGCAGGCTTAATGTGTGTGTGTGTGTGACAGTGTGGGGAAGAGGTAAGCACTGCAGTTTTCAGTTGTTCAAGCTTTGCCGTGTTTGCTTGGCTCACCTTAGAAGAAAATCTAGGACCTCTTGCAAGTACCGATTCTTGCGATTTGCGCTCAAGGGCCTGAACATCAGCACTGGTTGCTGGCTTCGGGGTAGGATGATACTTGTGGGTTCCACCCATCTTGGGGCGTCAGGGGCACCGCCCCATCGCCACCACTTGGCCAAAGCCCCAATCGCTAGATCCTACCCCATGGCTAAAGTTGGTAGCCCTCAGCCCTATTACCACTCTTGGTAGTTTTGTTATTCGTATTATTTCTTATATTGTTATTATGACCCTAAACCACCTCTGGCAGGAGCTGGGGGCTCACTTCGCAAGACGGGGGGAGCCATTGAGTCGAGGTGCGCTGCTTTGGGCTTGCGAGTGGCGACGCTGCTGCCTTGGCAAGCTGTGGGTTGGCGCTGAGCAGGGGGATCACACCTAGTGTCCCTACTCATACGATTACTCACCTACCGTTTCTTACGGCAACTGTCATGAGGTGCCCTGGAAGGCGGAGTCTGGCTTGAGCATTGGCACAGTATGAAGACGGCAGGTTGAAAACCAGCAGGTTGGTCTTCACACAGCCAACAATGACTGAGTTCCGTTTAGGGCTGGCTCAACTCTTCCAGGATGAAGCAGCGTAGTGCTGAAAACAAGCAACAACGACGTACTGCCTACGACAACCCTACTGAACCCTCACACCCTGGAGCCCTAAACCGAACAAGCATCCGAGTAAGAATAGTAAGACTAAGAATGAAGCCCTAAGAATAATGAGAAGCATGAAGCCCTAGAGCCTAAGCCCTAAGCCCTTAACCCCCTACTCGCAGGAGCCTCTTCCTCAGGCATCGACCACAGGCCCCGCGGGCGGGGGTCTGTTTTATACTGGGGTTGCTGTCTGCCTAATCAGCGGCCCTGCTTTCGAGGCCCTCAACCCTTAGCCTTAATGCTACCCTGCATGGAGGTTCTGGGTTGGGTTGTGTTCTTGTTTGAGCCGATGTTAATTCCAACTCTGCCCACCCACCCGCCCGCCGCCACCCCGGCTCAGTTTGTGCATACTTCATTATTCCGAACAATGTTGTTGTTGAAGTCGTGCACCCTTAGATTTGGCCCTAGGCCCTAAGAGCCTAAACCCTTAAGCCTTCAAGCCAAAAACCAAACCTTAAGCCCGGGAGCTTCGCGTGAACCCTCAACCGTGGAAGGCTCCAAGCCAAAGCCCGCAAACACAACAACAAAACAAGCCCCAAGGAAAATAGGACAAAACCCTCCTAAACCCAACCCCCCTCCAAAACACATGAAAACAAACATAGAAACAGCATTATTCTCTTGCAATCGCAACAGTAATAAGACATAACATCAGTCATGATTGATATTAGCCATAAAGAATGGAAATCGTATTAGTGCATTCTTCTCTTTATTCTTACTATAGGCATGATTATTGCTCTAAGTATTACCTTACTGTCTCTAAGTAAGAAATTGGGAATTAGAGACTATATACTCAATCCATTGTACTATCCATGCTTTGCAATGATTATTGTTATCGGTCTTAATGTTGACGCTACGCGGCATGCCTCGGCCGGGGGTTGCCTTTGGCCAAGACATCTGTGAGGTGGTTACGGGAGGCGCGGGGCTGGGAGGTGGGCTGGTGGAGTGGAGGTTGCGCAGGGGTCCGGCCGTTGCCTGATGTTGCCTGCAAAAAACTTGCGAGGAAGCAGAGTGGGACGACCGGCCAAAACATACATGCATCCAATTGTATTGTACACAAGGGATTGTAACATGCTTCCCATGGGGGAGCATTTTCGGAAACCGGGCTGACAAACTTGCTGAACATCAGCCTGCAAAGTCCAAGGTTTTCCCAACCCCCCTCCCCCCCCCCAAGGAGCAAGAGGGGAGGGGGTAGGGGGTGGGGTGCTCGCAAAGAAGGGGTGCAAAGGCCCTGGGGCCCTGGGAGGAGGATTAGGGGCCATGCTCTGAGATAATGAAGTATTATGCATGATGATGAGGAGGCCTCTGCGGATTTCTAAACCCCGTAAATCCCCCCCCCCCCCCCCAAAACCCTGAACCCCCCCCCCAGGCCACCGACGGGCGGCTCGGAGTCGACCACTGCGTGCGGGGCCAGGTCGAAGAGATGGTGTCGGGTTTGGCGTTTGGGGTTTAGGGTTTAGGGCCTTTTTTGGGGTTGAGGGTTTCGGGTTTAGGCGGTTTGGGTTGGGGATTTGGGGTTTAGGGTTTGGTGTTTGGGTAGGAGTCTCGGGTTTGGGGTTTGGTTGGGGTTTGGGGATGTCGGGGTTTCAAGGCTGAGGGCTTTAGGGGCTTGGGGCATAGGATGGTTTAGGGTGGTTCGGGGTGTAGGAGGTTCGGGTTAAAGGTAGTTGGGTTTAAGGTTCCTAGGGTTCTCAGGATTAGTAAGAGTTTAGAGGCTTCTGGTGTGGTTGGAGTGCTTTCAGATTTTCAGTACTTAGGGTCTTCGGAGTATTGAGGGTGTTTAGGGCTGAGGGCTGAATCATACACACGAGCCCCCAAGAGCGGACCAGCCCAGGGCGGTTAGAGCCCAAGCCCTACAAAGCCCTAAAGCGCCCTGAAACCCTACAGTAACAGCCCTTTGGACCATTCTGAGGCAAGAAAGTGCAGGCTGAGAGGTTCTGAGAGTTCTGAGAGTTCTGAGGCCTGCGAGCTCCCAGGCGACGGCTTCGGTGGAGTGGGTTCGGCGCTCACGGGGCTTACGGAGTCCTGGGCCCTTAACCAAGTTCAGCGCAGAAGCGCGGTGCTTGGGGGGGGGGGGTTTGAGAGGTGCTTCAGTCGAGCTTGCGAATGTTTGGCTGTTTGGACCCTGCTGGGGTCTTGGTTTCTGATGACTCGGAGCGCTTCAGAAAAAGTTTTCAACCGAGGTCCTAGAGACGCAATCTCAGTCTCAATCTGTCACAAGATTTTCCAGATGCTTAGAAAAAGCACGATGGTGTGAAAAGAGCTATTCTGCGTCAAGCGCTTTCAACAGATAATGTAAGCGCCCTAAAACCTGCACATCGGGACAAGCGCAGCAACTTTCGTGGTGAGTGCGACGGCTTGGTCGCATCGTGGCAGTTGTTGGGGAGCTCTAAAATCTCCTGGAGCATCGAGGCCATGCAGATCCTATCTACAAAACAGCTCATGATAGCTCATTGTGCACAGCCGGATTTCGGGAGGTCAAGTTCACTGCAAAGCTGCAAGGAGGCATAGAGAAGCATAATGACATGACCAGCAACTCTTGGACTGCCTTTGCGACAAATTCGGCACATGGCTGGCTGAAAGCACTTCCGGTTGAAGCTCCGTGAGTCTGAGCTCTAGATTGGCAACAGATGCCAAGCAAGCAACTAACTGTCCGCAGAGGAAGATCCCGCCACCGTGGATGCCGGCGTAGAGGACACGGAGTCCAATCAAGGTAGTAGAGTGGCATGTTGTCCGTGCTGTCCATGCTGAACTGCTCAAGAAAAAACCATGCTGCAAGCATTCCCTCCTCATACCTAAAACCAAAAGCTTTAAACCTCCAAGCCTCTTGGCTCCACCTTGTGGCAGGAGCCAGGAGATCTCTTGCGTGGCGCGCAGCGTGCCCACCATGCCACTGGCACGCAAAGGTATTGCACTGCTGGGTTAATATGCCTCGCTTGTCAGGGTCTCTTACAGGGCATCCCCTGGAGTGGGACTAGTCGGGGCATGGGCAAGCCTGAATCCGTATGCCTCTTAAGATTCTTAAGTCTTAAACATCATGATCCCTCATCCCTTAAGCCTCCCACCGGCCCATCATTTCTAGCGCTGGGTTTTAAGCCTCGCCCGGGACCCCAAAATCTTAGGAACCACCTGGACCCCAAAGCACCCCGAAGCCAAACCACAAGGGGGGTTCCTCTGTTGGGTTCCTTGTAGCGCCCAGACTCTTGGATCCAGGCAAAATGGGGTGCTGAGGAACGTGAGCCCCTTTCGTCCAAGTTCATCGCTTCGGACAGTATCTCCGAACCCTTGTCTGGTCCAGCACCGTATCGCGATCCAAGGCTGGCCTCTTTCTCAGTGATCTTCTCCAATTCTGCCCCATTGCATTGAACTGGTCCTCATCCGGATTGCTTCGCTCTGTCCAAAGTTACGAGTTCCTGCTTCGGGTCGCGTCGTCAGGGGTTCTCCCAGTTGCTTGTAATCTGTGATGGTGGCGTGGCTTCGGTCTTTGTTGGTCACCCAGTTCTGTCCGACATCGCAATTCTCGAGTATATTGGAGTGCTGTTGTTGGCGTTGGCAATGTCTTCCGGTCTTCCGTCCTTCCTCCGTCTTGTGGAACCCTGAACTCCTTTTGCAACATTTAGGGGGTAGCCTGCAAATGGCTCCAAGTGTCTTAACACCAGTCACCAGTCACCACTGCGGTGGAGTACAACTCAAGGGCTCACCTAACAAGTTGTGCGAGACACAGCTGCTTCGTGTCGTGGCCCAGCTGCTGCTGCAAAGATGATTGAAGCGTGAAGGCTGACCTAGCGAACCTAGCGAAGACCGGGTCCATTGACAAGGAAACAAAACAGGCACGGCAATGAAGCGACAGCATAGGATGTGACTCGCGAGTTTTCAAAGTCTGTCGCTTCACAAATCTTCGGTTATGACCAAAACATCAGCCTTGTGCCTAAGCTGCTGAGCAGCAGGACACAATCAGGAGCATGGTAGATGGCAACATCCATGTTACCCCTATCAAGTATGCAAGTGACTGGCCGCGCTGTTACAAATCCGACTTGATCGATGATCCCAGGCGCGAGTGTGCTTCACTGATACCGGTTCAATAAGATCCTGAACTCCAGCCACATGCTAGAAAGCGGTGAACCCCGAATGCACAACCTCCCGAAGTTGACAAGATGCAGAGCTTCCGGGCTAGCGGTAAACTCAACCTCTGAACATCCGAGGAGATCAGCCGCATGCGACTGCCACACGGATGTCGGCTCGAGTCGTGAGCCCAGCTTGTCGGGCATTCAGAAGAAGAAGAAGAAGCGTACATAGTGCAACTTTGAGCATTCTAAGTTCTAACATTTAGTTCAGTAGCTTAGGCATTTGCCCTCTGTCGATGGACCTCGACATAATGGGTTGTTGAATCACCCTAGCCCTAATCATCCTAATCCCTTTAGCCACCGAAGCCTTTACCAACCCTTGCTCCGAACCTCCAAAACTTCAGCGCAACCCTCAACCCTGCGACCTGAAAACACCGGACCTTGAAGTGCTCTTCCCCCCCGGAAAGCTCAGCCTTTGAACCCGAGAATGCCTCGTCAAGGTTTGACGGTTCAGTGTGAAGGGGGGGTTTAGGAAGGAAACTGCCGAACGGACGGTACTCAGCAGTCCCACAACAAATTCGACTCGCCAGGCCAAGCCAGGCTGCATTTGCACAGCTCTTCTACACCATCGACGTGGCCGAGGTGGCCCTGACTTGAGGAACCCGATTTTGGGTTTGAAGGTCTAGGTAGGGTTTAGGATTTAGGATTAGGATTTAGGATTACTCCACTCCCTGAACACGAAACTCTGAGCATGGATTGTAGGAGCATTGGCTTGGACCACGTGCGGTTCCAAGGTGCATGGTTTAGTTTTGGGGGCACAGGGTTCAAGCAATCTCGAGAACCTCTTGCGTTATAAAGAGTTACGAGAGTACTTTAAACCCCACAATACAAAACAACATCATACATCATATATCAAATGTCATACATACAAAAAGTAGATAGTGTAATGTATAAATGTAGTGTATAAAAACTACAAGTCACATGTAAGATACGAATGTCTAATATAGAATATGTACATATATATATATACCAGATCGCAAATCACATATCTCATATCATGTTTTAGATATAATAAATCTCCCGGGCGGTGGCGTCCTGAAGCCCCAAACTCCTGAGAAGCGAAGCCTGCTGTTGAAGCTGCCCGCACGCCGAGGGTCCCTACACACCAGCGACACTCACCTTCTGGGCCCGGCGCCCCACACAGAGGATGGTTCCATTGAGAGCTCTGCGGTTGCGGCTTTGCAGTTTCATTGTGTGCCCTGTACCCAATAAACCCTTAACCCCTGAGCCCAAAACGGCTCTGATGCAGTTTGAGACCCAAGGGCTTAAGCATCGCAGAGATGCCCGCTTGATGTGTAACTCGGTAAGTCATGAAGCCCTAGTATGGAGCTGGAATACCTACACCACCCTACACCCTCAGCCCGAAGAATTGGCCAGACTGCAACCTGTCCCCAAACCCAAGGCTCTAAAGCCTTTTGACTCACTCCTGTTCTCCCTAAGCCCTCACAGCCTTAAGTGGCCGCCAGGTCAAAGTCTTCCAGGAGTATCCGCTGCCGGGCTCCATCAGCGTCCGCTGCACCAAACGCCCACCCGGCAGAATGAAATTCGAGAATGGGGTGCGGCTCACGTTTTCGGGAACCCCAGAACCCCCAAGCCCACTTAGGGGTATTTAGGGATCGGCATGCCGCCCCAGCAGAGTTGAAGAGCTTTTGGCTTGGCGGCACCAGGAGCAGTTTAACGTCAAAGGCTTTGGGGGTTGGCTCACAATCTTGGAGTCGAGAAGATGTCAGCGTCCGAGATAAGGAAGGTCGTTTTTTAAGGTTTCTTGGGCCACGTAAGGCAACTTTCAGAATGCAGCCCCTTTTAAGAGAGAGAACCGCCGCCAGGGATCTTCCATCCCAGCATCGATCCTCGAACTGGTGCCACGGCGCTACCAGGCCAGCGCTCCGGACTCCAAGCGTTTCAGGCTTTTGGGTGTTTTGGGGTTTGGGCTGGAGCTAGGGCTTCGAGGGGCGTTTTTGAGGCTCTGGGCTGCTTAGGGTCGCAAGTTTCGCCCGGCATGGGTTCAACGTTTCAACGTGTTGCTCTGTCACGCCGTGGCCACAAGTATTCGTCGCCGGCTCCAATGAGATGCACTGTAGCCGCGACGCAGCGCAGCTAGTCCAATAGTGCTTCGTAGACGGGCATAGATCCTGTAGACGGCTTAAACTTTCGGCAGGCTACGATGCTGAGGTCGGAGACGTGACGCAGGAGGCTGGATGGCTGGATGGCGGGATGCTTGCGGCTTCGGATTTGCACTGCAAGGTGTCGAAGTAGCGAGCAGCACGGCAAGTTGCGGGGCTTGTATAGGAGGGATCGGTTGCGCAGCTCGCTGCTCCTTGCTCAACTGCAGGTTCAACTGCCCATAATTCTTAGGCTTGGGCCCGCGCTCGAAGTCGATCCCGACAGGTTCGCTTGGCGTCCTTGCTGGCGTCACTGACGCAGATGGCCGTAGACCTGGAACACAAGCTGTAGCTTGCCCCTGCTCATCAACATTGAGCCTTCGTCTGTCGTGGAGAAGGGCAGGAGAACCCAAAATTCACACCTGACAGCAAGGTCAAAGCGCCCTGCGCCGTGGCGAATGCCTTGAATAGCGAGGCGTCAGCCCTGCGCGCCACTTAGATCATGCTACCTTGCAGAAACGGGTATGAAGTTCGGGATGCTTTGGGCATGTTCTCTTTCAGCACTGGGATGCAACAGGCCCTAGGCCATCAAAGGGTTACAACGTCACAAGGGCTTACCAGCAGCACTTGAACGATAGCCTCTACAAAGGCCTAAGCCCCAAAACAGGTAACCCGAAAGATCCTGATCTAGCTGGGAGCATCTCCAACGACTGCGGAGGCCAGCATGAAGAGCAAGGGAAAAAAGTATCCCAAGATGCCTTCAAGCGAAACGGCGCCACCCAACACTTGCCACAGTATCACAATCCCTGGGCCTCGCATCTGTACCCCAAACTCCAGACCTTACACCCCCACCCCCAAAGCCCCCATTCAACAATTTGATTCCCAAACGCCCTCAGAACTCTCAAAACCCCCAGAGATCCCAGAGGCAGAACCTTGCAACATGTTATGCACTTTCCCTTATCGGGGCTTGGGTTGAAAGAAGTTGTATAGGGTCTGGGTCCCGAAAAGTTTTGACCGAAACGTTTCTGAATTGGATGCTTGCTTTCGGTGGGTGCTCGGGGGGAGGGGGCGTGGTAGCCCCGCCCACGCAAGTGGTCTTCCGACGGCTTTTTCGGGTCCATTGCCCCATTTCGGCCACGGCTCCCAAAGGCCCTTCTTTTGGGCCCTAAACCCTAAACCCTAAAAACGCCTTCCTGGGGCCGTTTGGGGCCTCTCCGGGCTTTGGGGCCTTGGCCTTTCGGTGTTTGGGCCTCCCGTGGCATGAATGTTTGGATCAAGTTCCTTAAACTCGGTTGTGTAGACTTTGTTGGAAAAAAGGGGTTTTGTGTGCGGCCGGCTAACAACTTGTAGATTCAGAATGAGATGTTGGCAGGCAGATGCTTACGCAAATTGAACATCTAAAGCTTTTGGGGCTTGGAAAGAAACCTGTCGAAATTGCAGTTCTAAGTGGTCCACACAGCTGCCCACATACAGTTTCTATGTTAGGGTTTAGGGTTTAGGGTTTAGGGTTTAGGGTTTAGGGTTTAGGGTTTAGGGTAGTTGTGTTGAGGCAGCTTTTTCAGAGGGCCAACCCAACGTTTCCGAGGCTCTTGGGCTGCCCGAAGTTAAGGGGCCCACCGAAGCTACCCTGAGAAGCCCCCTAAACCCTAAACCCTAAACCCTAATCCCCTGGACCGAGGCTGGAATCGGACCCTGAGGAGTTCCGGCGCCGCGTGCGCCGCTCGCTGCTCGGGGACGAGGGCTTCGATAGGGTGCTGGGCACTGGCAAGGCCAGGTTTTGGGGGCAGGTTTCAGGGCTTAGGGTTTAGGGTTTAGGGTTAGGGTTTAGGGTTAGGTTTTAGGGCTTATGATATGAGGGGTGCCTTCTTGGGGTCCTTATCATCAGAGGATACGACTATTTGGGGGTCTATGTTGAGGGTGTAGGGTTTGAGGGTTTGGGGGGGAATTCAGGGGGCTTTGTTGGGGATACTCTTGCAGGCTCGGGGCATTAGAGTTCAGACTTGGGATGTTCCCCTTATTATACTAACAGTCCTTAGTCCTTAGCAGGGATTGTAATGGGGGGTTCTCCCGATCAAGGACTGGTAGGAAAAGGGGAACATCCCAAGTTTAAGGTCTGTTGTTGGGTGGCATGTTGGCATGTTGGCAGAAGCTCGCATCAGCCCTTGTTGACTCGTGTGTTGCGGCACGGGTCTTCGCCCCTTTGCACACTTCAGCAGGGTTTGTTGAGCAAACGGCGCGACGAGCACTAGGATAGGTTGAGATGTTCCCCCTTCTACCAACAGTCCTTAGTAGGGAATATAATCCGGGTACTATAATCCCCATGAAGGTGCTGCTGGTATAAGGGGGAGCATCCCACAGGATGGGGGTTTTGTGGTTGACTCCCGTTTTCGAGCAAAAAAGGCTGGGAGCGGGGGGTTCCCGAGAATAGGGTGGACCTTACTGGGGGTCCTTATCTTAAGGGAATCCTACTATTTGGGGGGTCTATATTTAGGGGTCCCCTATTTTCGTAGACTCCCATTTGGGTTTAAGGCTTGAGGGGGACCGAGATAGGACAGAAAGTGTCTGCAGGTCCCAGGGGCACGCATGCGTTGCAAATCCCCGCAGCCCTTTGCTCCAGGATGTCCCCTCTAAAACTAACAGTCCTTTGATAGGGAGTATACTAGGGGGTATTCTAATCCCCATGAAGGACTGTTAGTATTAGGGGGAACATCCCAACCTAAGAGGCCTGAAGCCTAAACCCTAACAACTTACAACCCTACAGCCGACACGCAAGACCCCAACATACTCGCAGAGCTTGGACCGGTGGTCAAAAGCAAGCCGAAACGGGCAAGCTGCATACGCAACAGCAGCAGCATACTACTGCGTGATGAATTGTGATTTGGGGTTGCGATTGGTTTGGTGGCCCCCTTGCACTTGCAGCCTGTGGCAGATTTCCTGTAGAAGCAAAAGAGCCTGATGAAAAGTAGGACCGTGCCAGCGTGCAATATGCTGTCATAGGCTTTCGGAGCCGAAACTTTGAAACAACCCATGGTAGATTTCCGGGCTTAGTGCTGTTGGGGTGCTCACACTAGAAGGGGCATAGAGTCGAGCTTCGGATCTCAACCTTCCGCGGGCCTCAAGCCCACGCAAACCTGAGCAGGCTTCCACCGCGCCTTTGCCATCAAAACCAGTCGCCATGTACCGCCCCTGGATGGTTCCGGAGCGAAGCCTCAAATCTTCCCTGGCACCCTGAACCCGAAACTTTGTTCAAACTTTCAACTGAGGACTGAGGTTGAGCTGAGGGCTCAGGCACTGCAAGTTAGGCCAAGCAAGCCCCGAAGAGGAGTTCTTTCGATGTGTAGGCGTGGTCGAATCAACAAACACAGGTAGTTTGAATTTTGGAACTTGAAGACACGGTGACCCCTGTCCAGATTGTTAAGGGCATGTGTTTGGCACCAGAGGCATGTTTATTCTCGGCTTCTGCGATGACTGGTGATACTCGTTCCACCTTCCTTTTAACAGATAAGCAGCTGCAGGTGAGAAAAGGGCAACGACACAAGTTATAAGCACAAATGCGAATGTAAACAAACATCTTCAGTAGCGACCACCGAAACCGAAAGCAAAATGCATCGCCATAAGCAACGCGAGGTCGGAGAAGATGCGGCTCGAGTTGATGAACATTGAGGTCTTGAAGGAAGACTTCAAGGCTCACCCTGCTTCACCTTGCGCCCGAAAAACTTCGGCTGCCACGTAGGACTTGTGGGTGGCGGAAGGTTGGACTAGCGCTTGGGACCATCGTGTTTACGTTGCGCGTGGTCACCACAACCCAACTCCGAAATCCTCTGTCAGGCCGTGGCCCCACTGCATGCTCTCGAGCACCTCTTGCAAGTATCCACCTGGTTTGTTTGATGCAAAGTTCCACAACGTAAACCTAGGCCGGAAGACGAAACTTGAAGCCCTTAAGAGTGTCAGGCCACAGCTGCGGCGTACCTGGAAAACAACCGGGCAGAGCTGCAGCAACTCAACCGAACCTGACGTCAAAAGTTGAGGGGGGCCCGAAGAGGCCACGGGACTTATTATCTGAGGCTTTGCATTTACACACTCGATTATATACTTTTTGTCAATAATTCTAAGAACAAAATACAAGCATTTCAAGTTATCCTCATGGCTAGTATTTTGTCTCTTCTTCAGAACATGTCTTTTGCCACACGATGAGCAATCTAAATAAGTTGGCCTTTTGAAAATATGAATCTTTTCGTAGGATTACGTCTTTTTGCACACGTGTCTGTGGTGCGAGAAGGCAATCCAAAATACTCGCGTCGTTGATGAGGATGTTTTTTTTACAAAGGGAGATGTCTGAGAAGTTGAGAAAAATAGTTTTTGATTTTGAAGGACCATCTCGCAGTATGCGAGATTTATATGAATTTCTTTGGTATGAGAAGATATTTTCTCTGTTTTATAAAAATCTCTATATGAATTCGTCTCAGAATATTCTGATTTCTCTGCATTGATGATTCGAAGAAGGCTTTTGAGATTTGATGAAAAAAGAGAAATTGAGATTTCGATTCGGGTCATTTCTAGATATCGTATTTCAGAAATCGAATCTGATGACTCATAAAACTAAGGAAAGAAATAGAATCACTAAGATATTCCATCTTTAATGGAAAATCTTTATTTCTCGAATTATAAGAGTGGGATACTTAAACAAGAATATGGGAGATCTATACATCTTTAAATACGGCAAGGGGGCTTTGCGATGGATCCCTAAACCCTAAACCCTAAACCCTAAACCCTAAACCGATTTCAATCGAATATACAAGCCTCCATGGAGAGCAAAGGACGAAAAAATCTCGATAAATGTGCGGGTGAGCAAGAACTATATGATGAAGATCCGATTATAAATCGAAAGATATTTGAATCGAATATTCACGATATATCTCATCTTTCTTTTGGTGAAGAACTTCCTCAACTTATGAATAAACATTCGCCAAAAGAATGCGATTGTTCCCCGTAATCTCTCAAAATCATACATTCGTAGCCCAAGTTAGTCATTGCGCAATGCTCAACCAAACATCCCTTCAAAAATGATATATGATCTCTATTGGCAATTATCCAGATCTAGAATTTAAAATGGATTTATCTTGGGGGGGGACGATTCGAGAATGTAACAATCTTGTCGCATGAATATATCAGCTTCTTGTGCGTAGAGAGATAGAAATGTATTTGTAATATATAAAAATTTTAAGTATCTTATCACATGAATTCATATCTCATTTTGAATGATAAGGGATATGGAAATTGAAATCATCATCCGTAGTTACATATCATCCATCTTGGCGGGGGACGGCACACGAGATCCTGTCAATCGTATATGGAGAGAGGAACGACATGAATTTATTATACGAGATATAAAATCTTAATTTGCAGTCTTATCATATCATATGAGAATATGAATATTTTTCTTTACGCTAGATGAGAGAGATAGAAATATATGGACGCACCCCCCCCCCCCCGGAGTAAACCCCAAAGCGCCGGAGTTAACACAATATAAAAAACCCTAAACCCTTAACCCTCAACCCTAAACCCCCTGATCCTTGAAGTAAGGATGGTCTACCCGGCTCGCACGAGGTTTGGGGGACTCAGGCGAAGTTTAGCGCTTCGGGTTCAGGACGAAACGCTCCAAACCCCAAACCCTGACATGCTAAGTCTTCTGAAAGGCGATCCTACGCCCCAAAAGCAAAAAGCCCCAATTCCTGAACTCCGTGGGCCAAAAAGCCCCGAGCCCGAAATGCTCGACCCCAGACCGTCACCCAAAACCCTAATGGTCAAAGGTTTAGGGTTTAGGGTGTAGGGTTTTGGGTTTCGAACCCTTATCTCATGGTTTAGCCCACGATGTGTTGTAAGGACCCCTTTGTTAAGTGATGTTAGGCCCAAAGACCATACTCACGCGGGAGTGTTCTGCATTAGGGCTGCTTTCACATATGGTAACAATAGCAAGCTTACGTTAAGCTAGGTACCTGCAGCGAAAATCCTTGTGTTGTAATGTAAAACAGCTATCATGTGAGACTTTGTGTCTATCTGTGCTGAATACGCCGCCTTCCGCCGCAATGCTTCGTGTCTGGAGACCATCTGGGCAAGAGCTCGCCGCTGTCTCCGTGGAGAGATTCAGGGATGTGGCGGCTTTGAAGGAACATCTGCGCGAACTCTATGATTTTCCTGTGTCTTTGCAACAGCTTATGCATGATGGGAATATTTTGAGTGATGGCACGAGACTCGATGCCCCCATGGATCTGCAGTTAGTTCTACTGACCATCTCCGGCCTTTCGCGAAGCGACGGTATTGCACTTCTACCTGAATCAGAGCTGGCAGATGCTGCGCGACAGAATCGGGAGAAAGTGGTGCACTGCCTACTGGAGGCTGGTGCTTTAAAAGACTGCCCAGACGATGACGGGAAGACGGCCCTAATGCTCGCATCTGAAAGTGGTCACTTGGAGGTTGCACGTTTGCTGCTGGAAGCTGGTGCCGAAAAAGATTGCGCAGACGATGACGGTAAGACAGCCCTGATGCTCGCAGCTAAAAATGGTCACTCAGATGTTGCACATTTGCTGCTGGAAGCTGCTGCTGAAAAAGATTGCAGAAGCAATGGCGGCAGGACATCCCTAATGCTCGCATCTGAGCGAGGTCACTTGGAGGTTGTACGTTTGTTGCTGGAAGCGGGTGTTGAAACAAATTACACAGACTATAGCGATGTGACAGCCCTAATGCTCGCATCTGAGCGTGGTCACTTGGAGGTCACACATTTGCTGCTGGAAGCTGGCGCTGGAAAGGATTGCCAACGATTTGATGCCAAGTCAGCCCTAATGCTTGCAGCTTTGAGTGGTCATTTGGAGGTTGCCCGATTGCTGGTGGAAGCTGGTGCTGGAAAGGACTTTAAAGACTTGAGCAACAGAACAGCTCTGATGTTTGCATGTCTTCGTGGTCACTTGGAGCTTGCACGTTTGCTGCTGGAAGCTGGTGCTGATAAAGATTGCAGAGATGAAAACAGGAAGACAGCCCTAATGCTAGCATGTCAGCGTGGTCATTTGGAGGTTGCACGTTTGTTGGAAGCTGGTGCTGAAACAGATTGAGAGTGGTCATTTGAAGAATGCACGTTTACTGCTGGCAGCTGGCGCTGGTAAAAACTGTGCAGACTATGACGACAATACAGCCCTAAGCCATGCAGAATATAGAGTCCGAATCCGTCAAGCTCAGGGGGAACTCCACAGGTCGCGTTTTCCCTGCGGCGTTCCGAATCCGTCAAGCTAAGGTGGAACTCCACCGGTCGCGTCGTCTTGCAGCGTTCCGAATCCGTCAAGCTAAGGCGGAACTCCACAGGACGCACGTCCCCGCGGCGTCCCCGCGCCGGTGGTGCGTGGTGGTGGTAAGTGGCAGTGGTGACGCGTGGTGGTACGTGGTATTACGTGGTGGTGGTACGTGGTGGTGCATGTGGTGCGCGTGGTGGTGGTACGTCGTGGTGGTACAGGGTGGTGGCACGTTATGGTGGCACGTGGTGGTGGTACGTGGTGGTGGCACGGGCGGAGGCACGTGGTGGTGGTACATGGTGCACGTGGTGGTGGTACGTGGTGGCGGTACGTGTTGGTGGTACGCGCTGGTGGCACGTGCTGGTGGTACGTGGTGGTGGTACGTGGTGGTGGTACGTACGTGGTGATGGTACGCGGATGTACGGGGTGCATGGTGGTACGGGGTGGTGGCACGTGGTGCTGGCACGTGGTAGTGCTACGTGCTGGTGGTCCGCGATGGTGGTGCGTGGTGGTGGCACGTGGTGGTGGTACGTGGTGGTGGCACGTGGTGGTGGCGGTGGTGGTACGTGGTGGTGGTGCGTGGTACGTGGTACGTGGTGGTGGTTGTGGTGCGTGGTACGTGGTGGTGGTCCGTGTTGGTGGTCCGTGGCGGTGGTCCGTGTGGTACGTGGCGGTGGTACGTGGTGGTGGTGTGCGGTGCTGGTACGTGGTGGTGGTACGTGGTGGTGGTACGTGGTGGTGGTACGTGGTGGTGGTACGTGGTGGTGGTATGTGGTGGTGGTACGTGGTGGTGGTACGTGGTGGTGGTGTGTGGCGCGTACGTGATGGTGTGCGTGGTGGTACGTGGTATTTGGTGGTGGTCCGTGGTGGTGATGGTGCATGGTGGTGGTGCGTGGTGGTGGTGCGTGGTGGTGCGTGGTGGTGGTGGTACGTGGTGACGGTGGTGGTACGTGGTGATTGTGGTGGTGTGTGGTGGTGGTGCGTGGCGGTGGTGGTGGTATGTGTTTGTGGTGGGTGGTGATATGGTGGTGGCGGTATTTGGTGATGGTTCTTGGAGGGATTGGAATTATCTGGTGGTGGTGGTGGCATTTGGTGGGGTGTGGATGTGTGGGATGTGTGTGG